CTGAACTGAGCCCACCCTTTAATCCTAAGGTTCATCTGCCGGGGCCAAGCAAGCTTGGACAATGGCAGTGGACTACTTGTATTTGTATACTGGCTTGCTTTTGATACTTCATTGAAACCAAGTGTTCTTTATTACCCTCGAAACCAGTGTTGCTTGCAAGATGTCAGTTGTCTTCAGTGGTACAAAAAGCTGTACTATGCATGTCCAGTGATAACCACAGCAGTTTGTAACTGCACTTTCGTGTAAATTGCAGCTAGAATGTTCCGTAAATATCCTTGTGGTGCAACTCAGGAAGGGGAATTTATGGCACTACCTGGTAAAGTTCAAGGAAATTCCTTGATAAAACAATTTTCTATGTGATGTTTGCTTCTACTTTCACAGTGTAGCTGTCTAAATGAGGATAATGGGAACCAAATTTCTACTCACTGCCACTTAGTTCGTGCAGTCAAGTTTTACCATCAGTTCCTATGATGAAGAAAACCAAAAGTCAAACTCTTGGATAGGGACAGTACATCTGTCTGCTGTCTGTGCAGGACCTAGTAGAGTATTGAACAAAGTCTTCAGATTGTCAACATTCATTCTCAAAGTAGCCATTAATGGTAGAGGGAAGGAAACTGTACTTTAGAAGGTCAGTTTTAATATGGTACTATTGCTTTGAATAACATCCTAGGCTTTGGAATAAGGTGCTTATTAACAAGAAACTGTCCCCCTCACTGGAGTACCTTTCCACAATGGTTGGTGACAAATGTGGAATGCTATTTGGCTTAAATGGTAAGAAAATTGAAAGCTAAGCTTTAGTGTTTAGCTTTTTTTCCCCTGCAGGCTTCTGAGGCCTCAGTCTGGTTACTGCTGCGAGACCATACCAGCACAATTTTACGTTTAGACTTGTCTCCTTGAAAACTAGTTGCTGCAGTGCCATTTTTTTTTGGATGCCATATGTACTCATTGTGTCTATTTCAATTAGTTTTTCTTGAATTTACCAGCTCTGAGACAGTGCCAAGTGGGAAGTGATCAGTCCCTTTAACATCCTGGATTGAATCGTACTTGAAGAGTGGAAATTGCTATTGCTTCCTCAGGCAAATCTGTGCCTGAAATGGGTGGAGAGTACTGTCACCTGCATTCAGCTGGCACCTCTCTCTAGTTGGGAAGCTCAGAAAATATTTTAGCTACATGCTGTCAACTAGGAGCTTTTTTTTCGTAACTATGCTGTAAGCCCTGCTGAAAATAGTGAATTTTCTTCAGAAACGGGAAAGGAGAAGGGTATTGATTAATGCACAGAGTGTCTATTGTATACAGATACCCAGGAAGTGTTTGTCCTTTGATCTTAGGCTGCTTGTTTCTGTTTGGTTTTAGAACATTCTGGAATTGACACTCTATGATAAGGATGTCCTTGTCAGTGATGAGCTCACATCTATTGTCTTCGATGTAGGGGGCATGAAGCCGGGTCGACCCCTGCTGCGCACTTTCAGGTTGAACCCTGAGGTTAGTCCCTGGCTCAACTGTGAATAGCTGCAGCTCATCATTACAGATATCTGGCAGTATGTGCTGGTTGACTTGTCTGTGTTGTACAGGCTAGAAGGGGAAAAATGAATCAATAGCTGATGACAGCATATGTGGTTTTACTGTCAACTGGGATGTTTCTAAAATCCCTAGTGATTTTATGTGTTTTCCACAGCCTTTGGCATGCCCCAGCTAAGTAAAACTTGAGATTACTGCTGTCATTCTGAAGATGTTAAAACATCTTCATTTAAAGGGAATTGATTTTTCACAAGACTTAGAGGAGCATAAACTGATTTTAAAATGAAAGAAATTTGCAGTCGGTAATCATTATGGGGACTATAGACTGTTATTTAGTTTGGCATCATCAGTTTGTGGAAAAGAAGTTTATTGCTGCAAAGGTTAGCTCTGTATCTAATAAGTCAGAAGTCTAAGAAAAGCTTATTTTCTCTGAACTGTATTCAGTACCTTTAACCTTTATGTGGGTGATGAGTGTATCAACTGCTCTCAAACCCTGTGCACCTGTTTATGGACTTACAACAAAACAGCCTGTTTTACATAGATAAAGCCACATCACCAATCTGATCTATTTTGTAAATACCACAAACATATTGCTGCAACAGATCGGGATTAAAGGTGAGCTAATGATGTGTTTTCTTGAGAAACTAGGCTTCAATACTGTTGGTGTGGTCAGAAGCAAGCTAACTGATATGCAGTTCTCAGGGAGACATTGGGCAGTGGCACAGGCACTCCAAATGATTTGTGATCATGGAAAGAAGTTTAGTAACTCCCTTGTTCCCACAAACTCTACCAATTTGCTAAATGCTTAAGTCATCTTGATCCATAATTATGAATCTGAAAATTCCAACTTTAGTAAATAAAATTACCCAAGTTGGCTTCTACTTGGTTATTTTAAAAGCTGCATTATGTCTGGTATCAAATATATACTGTATGCTATGGTAGGAGAAAAGATGACTGGATTGAAGTCTGTAGAAGACAAATGCAGCAATGACCTAAGAGTGCAAGCTCCTGAAATGATAATAATAATTGGGAGGTAGCACAAAACCTCACGTAGAAGGTGTTTGCAGAGATGGCGCTGCAATGGGACTTGAGCCAGAGGAGGGTTTTTTTCTCATAGCAGAGTAATGGATCTGAGAGCCAACTCTCACTTGTGTGCACTTGTGTCTTCAAACATAGATGTGTCTGGTCATATAGGATATGTCCAGGAGGAGAGGAATGTTTAAAGAACAATAAGAACAACTAAAGGCATATATTTAAACATTTCAAAATTGAAATGGAACTTTTATAAAAGCCGTTACTTTAACAGGAAGTTACTATAAGTATGTAACAGGAAGAAAGCTTTATCTCTTGGAAAAATGTCTCATAATTATATATTCAAGATAAAGGGTCACCAGTGTCCAACTTTTGTTTTCAAAGGCTAATGAAGAGCTGGATGTAGAGTTTTACTTGGAGAAATGGTGAGTCTTACCTGAAGAGCTGAATGAAATTGAGCTCTGCAAATATGTTGTCTTCGTTACTTTTTCTGTGCAGGGACAGTCTTGCCCATAGAAAGGCTAATGCTTTATAGTTCCCCGTGGTGTTTGAGTTGATTCATTAAAGGCTGACCACAAATATCCTTAATGCTCCAGTCACCAAAATTTTGGGGTACCAAAAAAGAAATAAATTTTGTTGGACTCCGTAAGAAGTAAATGAACACTTTGTGGTTTAGTTACTTAGGAGTGGAAAGCTTTCACAGTTCACCATGTGAAATACACAAACGTGTATTTAATCTATCTGATAGCCTATCTAAGCTCAGCTTTTCTCTAAGTTATCAAAATAACTGAGATGGGGAGATCTTATAGCACATGCTTATAGTTGCAGACAAATTTTTTTATTTCCCGACCTCTGTTGTTCTGTGAAGGGATATGTGATTGGTGTTTGCATAGATATCCCCCAATGAGGGCCTTTTTACCCCACTGCTTATCCAGGCAGTTAGTTTGCAAAGTAGGATGAAGCAAATTAGAAACAGAACTCATTTACATTAAATCTCTTGCTTTCTCAGCTCAGATGTCCCTACAGAGGTATTGACCAATGGAGTCCTTGTGGTGAGTACATGGAAGTCAGAATCATATATGTTGTGGTTTACTCCAGAAGGTAAGTTTTTAGTAGCAAGAGTTGTTTAGTGTTCCACTCCTGCTTCCAAATAGCTCCTATTCTCTCCAGCATCTGCCTTTCCTTTTTCAATTTGTTGATTTAAAAATCTTCCTCAATTTTTAAAACTTGATAGTAACTCGCAGAAAGGTGTGGCTTGCTTTTTGTTGTTGGGTTTGGGGTTTTTTTTCCAGTAGGGCTGCTATAAAAATGTAAACAAAAAATGTCTTTATGAGGCAAGTGAGTCTTGAAGATGGTATCGTGTTTTCTAGCCTACATGCTGGCCAGGTATAGTCCCTCTTCTGATTTTAACACATATTACTTCTAAGCTTTTATCAATGCCATTACTAAGTAGGTGATGTCTCCCTGTTCTCTTGGGTGAATCAATCTAAGAAAATCAGTGTGATATACGTTAAAAATATAGGTGTTACTACCTCTTTTCTCCCTCCAAAGAAAAGGGATTGGTGTCATGTTTTTTGTAAGGAGAAAAGGATAATGGTTGAAATGTAGAGTTTTACCTTTTTTTTCCTGAAAAATTGGTGGCACTTAACAGCGCAGTTCTGCAAACTATTTCACAGAAGAGAAACTTTTGTGTTCCAATTTGCCTTAGCAAATTAGTCTTGCATTTAGGCAGTGGAGTAGTTTCTTTTAGGGCAGTTGTGGCCCACTAAGTATCTCACCTACTGTCCTAGAGGGGGTGATGATTGAATGGTGTGAGAGACTAAATTTTATGAGGACATGGACAAGCTGGGAGAGAAAGTCATGGCAGAATTTATGAAGTGCTTGCTTCTGAACAGGTTCTGAATAGGTACTCACACATGCATTAAAAAAAGGTAAAAAACCAGAAAAACCCCAGGTGTTGACAACTTGTAACTATGAAGTACTGGTTGCAAAAAGCTCCAGTAACTGGAATAAGAAGAGTGGTTTTGATTTTGAAACAAGAGCAAATAATCCTGTCCTACTGAAACAAAACTTGGTCTTTATTTGAAATAACAAAACAATCCTTAGTGGTTTTTTTTGACAGCTTGCATCTGTAAACCTACACCTAATATAGTGGGTGGATTAAACTTCAACAAAGAAGTGAACTAAAAATTGTATAACCAGAGCTGGTTTCTTCTTTACATAGGTTCGTCCTTGCTTGTCTCTGCAAGGCACTGTTAACAAAGAGGAAAACACAAAAGAGAAACAGCAAGGTAGGGCTGCCTGTAGAGTTGAAGTCAGCACTACTTTTCAACATATTTATTCCTTGGGAGAGAAGGGAGACTTGATTCTCTGTCTGTACAGTGCATTTTAATTTACTTACTACAAAATTTACTTTTTAAATCAATTTTGCTTTTATTTTTAATACTTAATAATATGGGGTCACTTCTACTGAGTACCACACAATAGTTTTTGCTTGTGTTTTCATAGTCTCAGCTACACTTAACAAGTACCTGATTTTCAACATTTATTTAAATGGCTCCTGTGGTCTAAACTTTTTTTTCTAATGCACAGGGTGCTGTGCAGTTAAGTTGTCTGTCCCAGGGGCATATCAAAAGCAGTTGAGTATTCCTTGGACACCAGATAATGAGAAGCATTATGGAACCTCATTTGTTTTTCATGTGGATAAAGAAATGTGTCCAGAACTGCAAGTGCAGCTGGAGCAAACCATATCTGTTCTACAGGTAAGCATCCATGCTGACTACTACAAAATTTACAACCCACTTTTGAATAAATCCACTCTGAAACTGGTGACTTTATTTCCACGAAAATGTCCTTAAATATAAATTGAATGGCCTTGATTTGATCATAAGAAGGCCAGAGACTTCTTCAGATGTTCAGGGATGTCAGTTTTTGGTTTTTATTCAGGTACCTGTGGATGTCAAAAGCTTGCATTGAAGGAAGTATCTTCTGAAGTAAAATATTTGTGTGGTGCTAGGGACCAACTATTAAAAAGGCTACTAGTCACTTCCATGGGGACCCCTGGTGGTCTAGTGGTTAGGATGCAGCGCTCTCACCACCACGGCCCGGGTTCGATTCCCGGTCAGGGCTAGTCCCCCGGGCAGATGGAGCTCGTCAGCCCTGTGAGGCCATCCATCTATGAGAAGGTCACTCTAAACAAACCTACGTCCTGAGGACCTCACTGCCATTGTCCAAAGCTCGCTTGGCCCCGGCAGATGAACCTTAGGATTAAAGGGTGGGCTCAGTTCAGCGCAGGCTGTGTCTCACCTAAAAAATCCATTGCGCAGGCTTGAAAGGTAAAAGACCTTTCTTAAAATCTTCGTTCGCGAAGACTGGCCATACACAGTCACTTCCATATGTACCTTTTGGATGCAACTTTGTAATATTGTAGCTGCTCAGACCAAAATTTTCTAGGCTAGAAGCTTGCCTTGAATGAATGTATTTTTTTTCTGAGTGTGTATTAGGAATTTATGGGCAGAGAGATAAGTTTTTATCTATCATTGTTTTTTACACAGTACTATTTTTTTTGTTTTAAAATGTCAGACTTTGCATTGTATCTTTGACACTGCGTAAGGAGGTGAAATTGTCTTAAAAATATACACTCCCCAACAATTTAAAATTTCTTCAAACTCAGGGATTAAAAAAATTGAACTCTGTACGTGCTTGCTGCATGAAGACCTCTTTACTTTCACCTGTTGAGATACTCTCTAGAAAGTCCTTTCTATTAGAAACTTGCAAATCAGTTGCCACTTGTAAAGGTTTGTCTAGCTTTCTCTATTACTTTGCAGTCTGTACAAGTACCCATGCAGTGTGTGCATCCTATCGGAGTAACTGAATATTCATTGTGATGACTGTTGCCATCAAAAATGAGAGCAAGGAAACTCTTTATTCTATGATGTTTTTCATGCCCACAAGCAGTTGGGCAGCATGATTGCAAATGGTGATCTTGACTACTCTAGAGGCAACTATGGAGAAGAGGACACAAGAAAGTATATGGAAGAATAGGTTTGACATGGGGTTGTTTAGGCAGCAAACATGAGCTGAAGAGAGAGACCTGGACTAAAGTGGTCAAAAACTCAGAGCCGGGCAAGCAAAAACACAGTAGAAGTCAACCATGGAGATTGGACCAAGTGGTAAACCTCAGCCCAACCACCTTGGTTAGCAGAACATACTCCTTCAATGGCTGGCATAGAGCATAAAAGTCTGATCTTTCTTCTCTTATCAGAGGTAGGAGAGTGCCAGGAACATGGTAGAGTTGCTTGCCCTGTACCTAAATGCATGTTATTTTCCCCTGTTAGGAGGAGGAGGACAGTGAGCTTAGTCGGACATTGGACTCAGGACAGCTGTTATTGGTCAGAAAACACCTGTGAAATCTATGAGTAGTTCCTTATCTGACTTCAGTTCTTGGTGTGAGAAGGGTGACAACCTGCTGTTCCTTCAAGATGCTGTCTCTTGCCAGGGGTTGAGCCCTGTGGTGGATATATGAGCTCCATCCCACCTAGCAGGCTGTGTAGGTTTGAGTGTGACTCTCTGATATGAGGTTTTTTTAGTATATGTCTTTTAAAGTTAGGAATCTGCACATATCTCAGTATTGAGTGCTTGTCACTTGCTGCATGGGAGAAAACTCAAGGATTTCCTGGCAAACTTTAATTTTCTCTGCTTTTAAAATTGATTAGGTTTTTTAAATTATATGCTACTATTTGTCCCTAGGGCAACTATCTTATTGCTTATTTTGTAGTATTTTTTATGTATGTCTCATGCTGTTCCTTTGTTGGTATCTTTTTCAAATCCTGCTTTGAAGACAGATTGCAAGAACACAACTATTTTTGGGGGAAGTTTTGTACTTGAAGGTGACGATTTTTTGCTTGTGGCAGACAGGTATATTAAAAAAAGCAAAGAACAACAAACATATAAACCCCCCTAAACAAACAAAAAACAAAAAACCCCATTTGAATGAAAAAATATCCTGCAAAGATCTGTCAAGCAGAAAGCAGGATGCTCTTGAAAAGCTTTAGACTTTTGGGAAAGATTTAGCTATAGTGATATTAAGAATTGTTTGCTGTTTTGACATATGAAAGTCATGCCTTTAACTTCTTTTCTGTGGAGCTCAATTAAGATTTTGGTTTTTATTAGGATGGCGTGAACCCTGATGTTGAAAAACATACTACAGTTCTGGGATTGGGAACTGTACCAGTTAATTCCCTTCCTATTGGAGAAAAAGTTGATAGAATCATTTCTTTGGGAGAGGTAATGTCAATATTTTGCATTTGTTTTAACATGCATGGGATAACTTTTTCCTCCAATGCCTTTAGGCATTTGGAAAGTTAGGCTACACATGATTCTCAGGAGTGCTGTTTTCTTGGATATCTAGAATGAAATAATGAGATTACTCAGTGAAGTTCTTCTAAAAATGTTTTCACAATGGAGTCTTGCAAAGTAAGTATGAAGTTCATCACTTTCCAGCGCAAAAAAGTCTGTCAGAGTGTGAAAGAAAATTATCAGAGGAGGAGAAAAGCAAGACACTTGCAGAAGAAATAGTTCCTTTCACACTGCTCTCTGAGTATGTTTTTGCTTTCTATGGAAACTATTGAAAATGTCTGAAATAGGTGCAAGGGAAAGGTGTTCCCGAGATGTCATTTTATGAGTGAGAGTACTGTTCTGGTTAGTATCTGGTGACTCTGTTGATGTCATAACCTCTGTTTAGTAGTTCCACCTGTATAATTGCTATCAATTGCAAGATGTGTTCTCTCTTTTCACAGGGACAAAGTTTGGGTATGAGTTTGAAAACTGAAGAGAGGTGAGTGGGAACCTCAAAGTCCTTTAAAAATGAGGAAGGGCCTTTATTCTCATAGTAAAGGAACTGAGTGACTCTCCTCAATGTTCTGGTGAGGTCTGTTCTCTCCACTGATCTTTTCGAATAGAATAAAAGAAAATATCTTTGATTATTTTTCTTCCTAAAACTCTGACTCTTCAATTTCCAAATACTATCTATTGTACTGGTGTCATTACTGCTGAGAGCTGTACAAATTTTGTGTTCCTAATACTTAAATGTAAAATAGCTGATGATGTAAATATTAAGTAGTTTTGTTAGGTACAGATACTTCCCAAAATATATTCAGTCCTGTACTGACAAATACGAAAGGACACCTCTGTGTGTGAAGAGCCTGAACTATAAAATAGATGCAGGGTGCAAGAAAGGAATAAAAAAGAAAGAATAACTGAAAACCAAGCGGTTGGCTAGTAAGTTGATAAGGTCACTTAATATGCAGTCATCTGAAGATTCTGCTCCCCTTTTATGAACTCATAGCAAGTTAATTAAACTGCAATTGCAGTTGCCCCCTTCTGCCTCTTAAGTTCAGAAACTTCTGTTTTAAAATTGCTTTTCCCCTCATTTCACCATTCCTGTAAATACAGTGATGTCAGTTGCTCCTCATACTATATTCTTCACCTACTGAGAATATTTTCTTCCTCTGTGAAATTCCTGAAGCTTAATCTGAATACTGTTTGATGCAAATTTTGAATTTAAACATTAAGGGAGAAATACAGTATGGAGAGGTTTCATTTTTAATTCCAAAAGCTGTTGTACAAAATAGCCGATGTATATACTAAAATTTCATCTAATAGTTTGATCCAGTAATTCAGATCAGCACCCAGATTTTGTGTTCACAAAAATTTCTTTTCACGCAAATTACAAATCCTCCAAAATTTGGGTGTTTTTTTGCTTGACTTCTATTTCAGTACTTGGGATCTTGATATACGTCTGGGTTTCGACCTCTGTAAAGACGAGAGAGAATTTTTGGACAAAAGGAAGAAAGTAGTTTCTGAGGCACTGAGAAAGAGTCTTCACTTAAAAGAATCCCCTCCAAAAGATGAGGTATTGAGCACAGTGCTATAGTGAGATTGATAAAATCCTTTATGCTTGGTTGATAATTAGAGGGTGTAAGAATCCTTGCCTATGACAGAGAACATGTTTTGCATTCACTGTGGTGTGAGATAGATCCCTGGTATGTTTTAGTTTTGAAGTCTCAAATGTTGTTGTGTGTGTTTTGGAATGCAAAACATTAAAATTTCAGAATGCATGCACTTTCTTTTGTTGACCTCTTGTATCTTGGGTTTTAGGCTTGGAATTGTGATGGAAAAGTCTGTTTCAGAATGTTTAAATTAAAGCTCAGACCACAGGAATAGCTTCCTAATTGCTTATTTGAGGACACTGTTATGTCTACATAGGTCATGTCCTGATGCTTTGCTTGGTAGTGTTTGGCTGCTGTTATAAGAATAATTGCCTTTTTTGTGCTTATACATATATTGTATGAAAGTAAATGTGTCACAGTATACATAAGTTTCAGTAAGTGACTGTCCCTAACTGACCCTACTGTTTCATAGTAAACAATATATTTCAATTACAAAATAGGGAAAGGAGTTCTGCTTGAAATCAAACCTGAAATCACTCGAAAAGTAAATAGAAATATTGATTATTTTTTTTTTTTTTAATTTGAGTGAGTCTTGAATGGGATTAGTTCTATAATTCATTGGCAATCAAAAGTCTGTGGTTGTGATTCCTGAGTTTGCTGTCTGCAGGTTCCAGTCATAGCAGTACTGGGGTCTGGAGGTGGGATGAGAGCACTGACGTCGTTCTATGGCAGTCTTGCTGGGCTCCAGCAGCTGGGCCTTTTGGATGCTGCAATATATCTGTGTGGGATTTCTGGCTCTACTTGGTAAGCTGTATGCAGTGTTGGCTCCAGAAACTTAGTGTTGATGCAAAATAAAACCGAAATTGCATTTGTACCATCTGTAGTCAGACAGCAAAGTCTAATATTTTATCAGTTTTCACCTGTAAGACTCCTGAAGAGTTTAAGGGATTCATTATCATGTCCCACCCATGCAGCTGCTGGTTAAATTTATGAATCTGCTGCTTGTGCAAGTCTGACAGTTGAATATTAGAATGTATTACATCAATAAAACTGCTCAGGGCGCTGACTTAAAAAACCTTCCTCCCTTCTCTACTCTTGCCAAGAAGATAACTGGCGTGGTGCAAGTCACTGGAAACATGTCCACACGGGCCACTATGTCATCACCTTTCAAAATGGTATAAGTGGCTGAAGAGAGGCATAGCACTGTTTTGCCTTTTGGTGGACTGGAGCAATGTGCTGAAATGTTAGACATGGCTAGAATGTTTCAGTATCTCAGTTCTTGAAGTTTGTGATGAAGTCATCTCTTTTAAGTACATGTCGGTTTTGTGAAATGATTTCACTGAGGAGTTGTGCAATCTGACAGTGTAACCCTCCCTTCCAGACCTCTGTGTGTTAAATTAACTCCTGTTTGCCTGGTTCTCTTCCACTGACCTTGTGATCTGGCCTGCCCCTTTTGACTCAGACACTTCCAAACAAATGTAGCCAATGGTCCAAACTAGTTTTTTCCTCAATCAGACCTGTATTCTGATGAAGGCTATGGCCTCTATTGCTGCATGCAGTAGCACCCTTGCTGTCAGCCAGTCTATCATAGTTGTTATGGTCTGGAGTTAACTCAGGTTTATGAACTGGTTTATGTGTGCCTGCATATGATGCTTGGAACATCCTTGGAAGGCAAGTTATCAATCGGGATAAAGTTGTCCTGTAGGTGTCAGGGTTTCCAGCACATTTTAGAATTCAGAGAGCCTTTATTTATGGACTCTCTACTCTTCATGATGCTTTGTCTTTCAACTAGACTTCTCAAGTGCTGCAGCACTAATTATAACTAGCTAAAAGTATTCTTTACACAAGGGTCTTTGTTACTGATGATATTAATATAAGCATTTTCAGGTGTTTATCGACACTGTATCAAGACCCTGACTGGTCACAGAAAGACCTTCAAGATGCAATCAGAAGAGCTCAGGGTGCTGTGTCCAGCAGCAAAGCAGGGGCATTTTCCCCAGAACGACTGAAATACTATTTCCAGGAACTGAATGCAATGGAGAATAGTGGACGGAAAGTTTCCTTTACAGATTTGTGGGGCCTTATTGTGGAATTTTTCCTACAACAGAAGGTAAAAGGGTTTATGTTTGGATGTGTACTGCTTTTTGTTTTCCAGGTGGGAGCTCTACATACCCACATGTTTTGTTTCAAGAAACCAATTACTCTCCACTTTTGTGAGCTGTTCTGGCATAGACAGCGTTGCGGAATAAACATAATATCTTCTTTATTCAAGAATTTTCAAGTCATACAGATCAGGGCTATAGAAAAAACCCCTGTGTTTTCTTGGAATGACTGTTATTAAGTTAGTAGCTTTTGTATTGGGCACGTTAAACCTGAGAGAATGATATTAGTTTTGCAGAATGGCATTACTGTGCAGTATTTTCTATGTAACTGAGACTGGAAATCAGAGGGATATTGAGTTCATTAAAAACACTAGACATTCTAAGTATGCAACTGCAGAAATATTTTGACCAAATCTAACCATGTGTCTCGACAGTGGGACGAAAAGGGACTTTGACTTAGTAGTATTGTTAATCAGAAGTGCTAAGCAACAGCTTCCAGTTATCAAAGTATGGATACAGAGCTTGCCTAAGTGTGCTTCTACTTCCCTACTTTTGACCAGGAAGACCCATCAAAGCTGTCTGATCAGCAAGAAGCAGTGAAATGGGCCCAGAACCCTTACCCTATCTATGCAGCTGTCAATGTGAGACCCAATATGAGCAGTGGTGACTTTGCAGGTATATAGAAATTTATTTTTGTTTGCTAAAATCAATAAATTACTTTCACCTATCCAGTTCCTTGGGTAGTGAGCAGCTGACAACAGGAAATGTGGCTCAAGCAGCAGTTGGTAGCAAGAGGCAACAGGATACTGATTGGCAGAGTGTTATCATCCTGATAGCAAATGTCTTCATCATGGCTAAAATGGAGAAATGAGATTCAACATTGTTGGCCACTCCACATGTTTTGGTAGAAACTGCCTGAAATTTTCAGGAGCTGAGAAGATTCCTATAATACATGTCTGTGTCTGAATCAGAGAATTAGAGTCCTTAGTAATTAGGTGGCCACTTTCTTTTAAAGTCTCGGATAAATAATTTTTGTAGGATTCATGTAAAATGATAGATTGGGCACCTTGTAGTTTGCATCATCAAAATTATGGATTTTAGAAGCTTGAGTTCTTATGGTAAAAAAATGAAGACCAGTCCTTCACTGAAACTTTAAACATGATGCAACAAGTGAGGATAGATACAGGAGACACAATCACAAATGTTTGTGTCCATCTGTGTACCTCTAGGGGACTTTTTTCTTTGTTTATTTTATTCTGGAAGAGTTTGAATGAATTTGATGTCATGTGAATTTGTGAATGAATTTAATTTGATCAAACCTGCCAGAGTTCAAGAAGCATTTGGGTAATGCTTTCAGACACATGCTGTGGTTTTTTGGATTGTTCTGTGCAGGGCCAGGAGTTGGACTTGATGATTAACTTCTGGTTACCTTTCAACTATTTGTAGAAATGTTTCAGGCACAAGGGGACATTTTGATAGGCAGACAATGAAGACTGACACTGTGGGCCAATCGAGTTTTCAAGTTGGTACTGTAGTAGTTTCTGAGAGATGGTATGTAGTGTGAAGAAAAGCTGAGAAAAATGATATAGCTTCCATTTGGGATGGAAAAGGGAGCCATCAAAATACTTTAAAGTAGAAGTAAAATAGGCAGCTTGTTTCTGTAGTGGCAAACTCAAGATGGAGCAAGATGGGATGAAAGCCTGTACAAGAGTTTTTGTTAATAATAGATAGAGGCTTACTGAGAAGAGAGGCAGGGAAATCCATAGTGATCATGAAAAGTGGAGGGAAACTCCCTTCTGTCTCCCTTGTGTGAACAATACCAGATAAATATTTTTGCTTATGTTTCTTCTGAGATGAGTAAATATCCTGCTGACTTGTTCTTAGAATGGTGTGAGTTCACTCCCTATGAAGTTGGATTTCGCAAATATGGAGCCTTTGTCAGAACAGAGGACTTTGACAGTGAGTTCTTCATGGGACGACTTGTCCAGAAACATCCAGAGCCCAGGATTTGTTTTCTACAAGGTATGATATTATGATGATGATTAAAATGAGGAGATGGAAAGGAACCATGCTGCTTTCAGGACTCATGAGCTCAAGTCCATGCCTTTTTGTCCCTTGCTAAAGAACTCGAAGTAAAAAATATCAAGTCTTTCTCCAGAGTTTTAGGTATTGGTTCATAATATTACAGTCTGATGTCCCGAGACTGCAAGATGACTCTATTATAAGCTGCCTGTCAAAAATGTCTGCTGTAGGTCTTCCCCTACTGTGTTTTTGGTGTTTTTCTCTAGGAAAAATTTCCGTGTTATATTTTTACATCGGAATTTGTCACATGATTAACTCAAACATCACCTGTCAGAATAGTAGGGATCAAGTGACAGCCTTCTGCCATGACAAATGGCAATGGAATTATAGACCTTTTGGTTACACTGTGTAAAGCCTTTTGAGTACTAAATTCTTCCACGTCTCCTGCAGGAATGTGGGGCAGTGCTTTTGCGGCAAGCTTGGATGACATCTGCCTGAAGGTGGTTGGTATAGGACTGAGCTTTCTAGATTCTTTCAAAGATGTTATCAAAGTTGTAGGTAAGAGCATACATGAAAACAGCTGGATTTTTCAAAAGATTGCTGGTTTTGGAATAATCGCAATAGTATGACTCAAAAATGTGCTGTGTGTAGTTTTCAAGAGTTAGCATTAAGGATGGATTTAGACAGATCTCTCTTTTACCGTGTGTTATTCCCTTTGTTCACACATAAAGTGAAGAGAGGAATTACAATTTCTTTCATACACTTTCCTTCTTTTTAAAAAAATTTGTATCTGACTTTGACTATAAGTTTGGACGAGTTCTGGGAGCTGTCTTAAACACGTATTGCAGTGCAGGAGTTGTAATTGTGAGAAGAGGAAGAATAGAAGCTGGACTGCTAAGCAGGAGGTGGAAAAAAGGCTTTCAGTTTCCCCTTTGTCCTGCTTTTTGTAATTTTTGATAAGCTGTTTGTATATTTATGCACTGATCTCCATTTATATATTGCGCCCCTAGCAGTGAAAAGGAAGTGTTTTAAAGGCTGAAAGTTATTCCTGTGCATAGTTATAGCCTTATGGTAACTAGTGGAAGAAGAGGTTTTTTTTCTTCTCTGCCTTTGCAGCCCTAGTTGGCCCCCGACCCCATCCTTTTTGTTGTTGTGTAACTATAAATGCTACTGTGTACGCTTGACTGATGTTGTCTTATGTGACAGAAGTTGTTGTCACTTCGTAACAAGGGTTTCTTTGTGTTGATTTGAAATTAATATGGGCAATGATTTATGAGTAATGCTATATCCATTAGGCAGGGCACGTAAATCATCCGACTATGGCATATGCAGCTCATTTACATTTCATTACAATACTCTTATTGGAGGACAAATTCAGCCCTAGGATAGCTGGTTAAATATTATAGAAACAGGTCTGATTGAAATATTGGAGCTGGACAAGCATTTTGTTTGTATTCTGCATCCTTCTGTGACTTCTGCAGATGACTGCCGAAGATTCCATTTCCGAGACCCAGCACGACTGAAGACTCGCTTGGTTATACCTGGGGGCCCCTTGCTACAAATTTTTCAGGATTTCTTCAAGTCCCGGGTCACATGTGGAGAAACCTTCAACTTCATGAAGGGATTATATCTTCATAAAGATTATGTTAACATCAAGAAATTTGTGACTTGGAGAGGTAAATGAGTCTGTTTGTGTCTGGGATATTAAATAATATATTAATACTTTGTCAACATCACAGAACATAAGTGAGCTTGACTTTGTTCCACTGAAGTCAGGGAGTATACCCCTTCTTACCCCACAGCAAAAAATTTGATCCACTGTGTTTGTTCTGTCATATAAGACAAGCTCATCATAAGACTTCACAGGTCAATCTCAGATGAAGGTGCATGTTGGAATGTCTTTTTTCTTCTTATAGCACTAGCATAAGCTTTGTTTGTTGCTTTTACTGAGAGGTGTGTAATGAACCAATATAGGTACTTGTGTTACTTGAAACGTCTTACAGGTACTCATCTGGATGCATTTCCCAACCAGCTGACCCCCATGGAAGAGAGCTTGTATTTAGTGGATGGTGGCTTTTCTATCAACTCTCCCTTTCCTTTGGTACTTCAGCCAGAGAGGGATGTGGATGTTATCTTGTCATTCAATTTTTCCTGGGAAGCTCCATTTGAGGTGAGAGATGTAGCAGAACATTATTACATGAACATAAAAGCACAGAATCATATTCAAAATGATGGCAGATCAGTTGATGTTGAATACACACTCTAATTAACAAATGAATTAAAATAAATCCTTATGTCTTTCATGGAATCATAGAATAACCTGGGTTACAAGGGACCTTAAAGATCATCTAGCTCCAACCCCTTTGCCATGGGCAGGGACACCTTCCACTGGACCAGGCTGCTTAAAGCCCCATCCAACCTGGTCTTGCACACCTCCAGGGATGGTGAGTCCCCAACATTTCTGGGCAACCTGTTCCAGTACCTCACCACCCTCTGAGTAAAGAATTTCTTCCTAATATCTAAACCTACACCCTTTCAGTTTAAAGCCATTCCCCCTTGTCCTATCATTACATGCCTTTGTGAAAAGTCCCTTTCCAGCCTTCTTGTAAGTCCCCTTTTTTGTACTGGAGGGTGCTATAAGGTCTTCTCAGAGCCTTGTATTCTCCAGGCTGAACAGTCCCAACTCTCTCAGCCTGTCTTCATAGGAAAAGACATTTCAAGCATTATTTTTCTATGCTTTTTCCTATGAAGGTCATGAAGAGATAGAAAGTTGACAACTATAATAAGATTCAAAAATTTTCAGAAGCCTAAGTAGATTGTTACATAAAATAAGAGTGTTTGTTTGGCTCATAAGATTGTTGTTACTTTGATATACACTTCTAAAGGAAAACTGGTTATTGGTGATTTTCTTCATGCAAACAAGTTATTTTCCGTATATAAAAGTGTTCATTTTTAAAGGCAGAAAAGTCAAGGTGAATAGATTTGGAGTAGCAAAACATAAAAAATTTCAGCTGCAACCTGTTGATGGTTTGCTAGCAGTTCCCAATTCTGCTCTTCATTCTTCTATATCGCCAGCCAGAGAAATTGTTTCTGCTGATTTGAAGCTGAGTTTCTGTCACATTTTTTCCCTTTTTTTTTTTTTTGGTCAAAGTCTCTTTCTCTTTGTGAATTGTAGTTAGATGATCTTAGAGGTGTAGCTGGTATTCTGTTGCAATTATTTTTTATTCTTTGACAACAGGTTTTAGAACTGACTCAGAAATATTGTGAGGAGCGTGACATTCCTTTTCCAAAAATCAAATTTAGTGAGGAAGATGAAAAGAAACCAAAGGAGTGTTACATGTTTGTGGATGATAACAATCCAAAGGCTCCAATTGTAGTCCATTTCCCATTAGTGAATGACACCTTCCAGAAATACAAGGCTCCAGGTAAAGAAACTATATCTTAAAGAGCTCTTGTAACAATCCTTTGGGTGTGTTGATGGGGAAAATTCAGTGTGCGCAGTGTTCCTCTTTTCATTCGTCTTAGTATTACCCTGTAATTATTAAATTGTTATTTACCTTTAAGGCGGAATGAGTTTCAACTACTTTTTTGGAAGGGAGAGTAGGAGAAGGGGCTGACAAAAAAATAAAATCTAAGGGCCGAAAGAAACAAAATTAGGCTAAATTTTTGCTTCTTTCTGAACCTTTCTGCCCTGATACTTGATTCTATTACTTCTAGTTACTCTGAATATATAGGAAAGAACTAATAATCAGATTAAATAAGGAGTTCATTTGTTTATTGAATAAGAATAAACCCCTAAGCAGCAAGGTATTGGGGACCAATCTGTACATCAGATCATGTAATTTGTGTTAAGTGGCCTGTGCCCTTGTAGTGTGAGATCAAGTGATAAATGATCCTTTCTTCATTTAATGTGATTCATATAGGCTGTAAAGTCTATCAGGCAAGACCGCTGGGATGAAACATGGAGCTATTTACCTTTAAAAAGAGACAGGCAAAAATCAATGTCCTTTTTCTCCTATGAGGGAGAAAACAGCATCCTGAAGAAAACTGTTGGAATACATAGAAAAGAACATGCAGGACTGGTGCAGGCAAGGGGGATGTAAGGCACACTGTTAATGCTGTCTGTATTAATACTGTAATGATTGCCAGGCCCTGGCTGCATTTCCTCATCAACGATGAAGAGTTTCAAAGTGTTAGGCTTGGATGTGACTTGAGACTTTCATTTTTCTAACAGCAACAAGCAAAGTGTTATTAGCAAACTATTTTAATGTTCACCTTTCGAAATGGTATTTAAATTTAAGTGGCAGAGTGCTAAAAAAAGTATTTACCATATTTTGAAGAGTTTATACTAGCGTCCTAAGTGCAGTTGAACTCATGATGTGTCTTTTATTTTAGTGTAGAACAGTACTTCCAGGAAGAATTGAGCTTTATATTTCCTATTTTAAGAATGATCGTAGATGAACTAAACAATTTATCACAATGGAAATGTATTTTAGTACTGTATTTTGGAGCCTAGTGGAAAGAGGCTCCAAATAATAGCACTTTGCCTTCAGCTTCCAGATATTTTGGAAGGAACTGAAGTCTCTGCAGAGAAGCTTTGGGGAAAAAGTTAAGGTTCAATAGAATTATCTGTGATATACTCCTAGCGGAATTGAACTAAAAGGAGTCTACCATGGCTGGGTTTTTTTTTGTAATTTTCTTCTTTCTTTCTGATTGCAGGAGTTGAACGTGAGTCAGAAGAAGAGAAATCCTTTGGTGACTTCATCATTGAGTCAAAGGATTCTCCTTACCGTACACTAAATTTCACCTTTGAGCCATATGATTTCAACAGGTTAGTGGAAGTGAATTGCTACAATGTTCTGAACAGCAAGGACACTCTCTTCAAAACCCTGAACTTGGCTCTGCAAAGGAGGAAGTTGAAGAAGGTCATCAATAAATCCAATACATGAGCAGCTTCCAGAGCTGAGGATACAGAGAGGCTACAGTGTACAAAAGCCATGAGGTTCAAGACCGAATATTGAAAACTAATAGCTGGAAATTATCTTCTTGGCAAGGGAGTAGTACACGTGACACTGAAAATTCATTCCAGATGATGTACTCTGATGAAAACTCAAGGGACGTACCGTACAACATGGATGTTGCTTCCTTGTGTGGGGAAGAGTAAGGAATCATCTAGCCCAGTATCTCAATTTACAGTGGCTGATGCCAGATGATTAGGGAGGTCTATTCAAACAGTTCCAGCATCTGGAGAATAATCTTCCAAACTCCACTAAGCAATGCACCTCTTTTTGTCAAAGGTGTGTTAGTGTTTGGGGAAACACTGATTTCTTCTGTACTTCTATCTCTCTTGCTTTTTGAATCTCCCTTCATGAACTTTTACAATTTACATCATCTTGCAAGTAATTCCACAGATACACACACACTGAGAGAGATGTGTCCTTTTGCTTTCAACTTGTTACTGGCTGATGCCTGCATACTTTCAAGACTGAACAGTGATTACTTGCTTTCTATTTTTGCCATTCAGGATTTCAAAGATCTTTGTGATATTTCCTTCCTAACCATCTCAGGGATTTTAATGACTTTTAGTCTACCAGAACTTCAACACTGAGTACCTTATTTTCATAAACAATTTGGTTTTGAGGAAATAAATATTCACTTTTTTATGTTTAACAATTAAAAACACATCGTGGGATTGTGTTACTTCTTCCTACAGTTTGATCATCATGAGATGATGAAAGTGTGATGAAAGTACCATAAGTCTCATCTTTCTCTTTGTGTATAAGAGGAAGGAAGGCTCCTTTGAAGGGTTTGAATTAGATATTTTCTGCCTTACACTTCAGTGTGCGATTCAACCGGACCTTTGTTGGAGGAATTTGTATGTCTATATATATCAGAAACATCAATAGTCAAGGTAGGCACACCTTACAAATGTGAACGAATGTGCTGCAGTGCTGTGGGATGGAATTCACCTCACTTTGCATAAAGCTCAGAGAAAAGGACTGAATTATGCAGTTGGAAAATATGTAATATAAAAATATGTAACACAAACCAATGACAAACAAGCATTGTTTACTTTTGTGGCTTTTACACTGAGTTGAATGTACTGATTCTGTATTTGAAAACTGGAGACAGGAAATTTGTCTTATGAAAGAATGTAAAGGCTTATAGATGAGGATGATTCTTGATACATTTTTTAATGTGTTTCTCTTTTAATAAATATTAGTTTTTCTCACATGCTTTTCACAGTTTTTCTTATAAACGCTTGTCTTGATATATTTTTCCTCATTTCAATAAAAAGTAAGCAAGAAAGTCAATGTAATACTATATTGCATAGTTTCTTTTATTGCATCAGGATACTTGACAGTGGGATAATGAATTACTGAGTCCATGTCAGGCTGGTGTTGCACAGCAGTAGAAAGTAATCTTTTCATTGTGAGACTTCTCTCTGAGGAAGCATGGCTCAAAATTTATTTTTTAGATCTATTTCAAATTATGCCTTCATCTGGAAGGATGTATCCTTTATGTTCTTAGCACTTATTTTCTTAAGCTGGAATAAGAGAAACAGCAACTTAATGTTATAATTTTCCTTTATAATTGGTGCTGCATGACTACCCACTCTGTAGGATTTGGACATCTGTCATATTTGCTGAGTGACTTATGTATGTTTTTTCCACATAAGGTTTACAAATACTCATGTCTCAGATGTCTTTCAACCTGCCATAACTTTGAATATTTATTTGTAATAAGGTAGAATTTCCTTTGTTCCTCATGAGTTCTTACTTATTTTTTTTTGTCTTTGCTGACTTGAACTGCATAGTTTGATTTATTTCTACATTTTTCTTTTTGAGGTTCTTTCCTAATTGGAGATGCTTGGATACTGTGGAGATATAGGCATTTAGGTACTACCTAATAGACGGGAAGGTGAAATGTTTTTCTCCAAAATTTCTATTGAAAATGTACATGTACAATGGATTTACGTAAGGCACTATCACCTTGCTTTAATTGTCCCTACAGCAGAATCATTTATAAAAGGGTTTATGAAAACCTTTTGGTTTTAATTTGAACTAAGTGAATTAAGCAGCTACTTCATTCTCTGATCTGATCAACTATGATTACCCTAGAAAAAGAGCATATTGCATGCACCTACAAGACCACCTACTCAGATCAACAGATATTACAGATAATGCAGTCTTCCTTCTGTGGGGTTGCTAGATTGTCATGGACAGGGACCATTTTGCATTCACATTAATGATAATATTAATAATTTCTTTTCCTCCACAGATGATGACAAAGTTATGTTCTAAGTAGCCGATAAGCTTCTCTAGCTGAAGCTTCTTTTCAGCTATAGTACTTAGCAACTAATATTTTGTAATTAATTTCACTTGTTGTTGATGATACTGTATAAGGAAACAATTCTTATGTTTTTTAATAACATGCTTTGGAAGATTTTTATAATAAATTCTGTCGTGGATTTTTTAAGCCTGAGGTAGTGAAGAAAAAATATAAAATGGCTAATGGGATATCATACTCTATTAAGAAAACAATGACTTCTTACGAAAATATCTGCTTTTTTTGTCTTCCCTTCCAGTGTTAAAGGCAAACTGCTCCGTGGCAGCAAATCTTATGACAGCATATCCAGTCACTTCCCAAACATAGGTTGTATTGTTTCTGCAGTGATTCCAAGTGGAATGAAACTTAAAATGCAAGCATCATGATGCTGTGGAGGTAAAATGTGTGCTTCTTTGTTAGGTTGCTCAGGACAGCACTGGAGAAATAGCAGATCCAGGGTGAAGGAGGGAGCAGCATCTTGTGACAGGGGTAGCAGAGAGGGCAAACCACTGGTGGCCTGCTGTTGTGCATGTTTAAGCTAGCTCTGTGAAGCAGAAGTGTAAAGGTCTCTGTGACTTGGAAAAACCATTGCCTGGGAAAATACCGGAGCAGGGTAAAAAAGATGTGATGTTGTCTTAAGGGTGCTGTATTTTGGAATAGGGTTGAAGAAATTTTTGCATTTCTCCAAGGAATTTATTTAGAGCCAAGCAATGTTGTTACATTGCCCAGCACTGTAAAGAAGTACAGTTCAAAGTCTTTACAGTATTATCAACTCCAGTAGATGAAAAATCTTTCTGGAATCACACCTAAAAATCTTAAACTGGGATGGAAGTGTTGCTAACTCTATTGCTTTTGATGTGGCAAATACTGCAGCAGGCTCAACTTTTAATCACACATTTGTGTTCAGTTGCCAGGTGAAACACTTTAATCAACACCTTAAAAGGGAAAAAAACAATTACAGGAAGAAGTATCTAATCACAACTCAATATTGATATGACTTGGCTTTAAAAAAGGTAATGAGATTCAGAGATCTTGGAGGTTGAAACATTTCCAGTGGAAAAGGGGAAACACAAACACTGTTAAACAAAGCTCTGATAGTGTCTTATGTAGGACAATGCATGTTGATTGGTCACCCATGTTTGAGGAAAATTAACTCATAACAGATGCATGGATGAAGAAGTATATGCGGGAAAAGGAAATCCCACCATTTGAGATGATACCAGATGACTGCAGGTTAATTTGCTTCTCACAGCAACAATTGAAAATGGACCCGTCTGCTCTTCATGAAAGCAATCTAGAGAAGGGAGATAAAGATAGAAGGCCAATGTTGGTGCGAGAACAAATATGTTAAGGAATAAACTTAGGCTGAACGTGAAAAGGATGTTTCAGAGTTTTGTGAAATCTGTGAAAAACTTGACAATGGTTAGGCTAACTTATTGGTGGACATCTAAAGTAGAAGCTGATGAATTGATAGAACAAATGATTTATACAAAGGTAAGTCAACATTATTAGAAGTGTTCCACTGTCACACATCTCTGTGATCAAAGCTCAACAACTGGTAGGAAGAGAAATACTGATATCTCCCTAGGCTCTATATAAGCAACGGGAACCTGTACTGTTTTCTGCTTAAAATAAAAGCTAATGCGGAAGCTGAAGTACAGTCTGTGGTTTAGCACTGGCACACATACCTGTGTGCTTTTTCATACCCATCACATTTCCTAAATGCAAAGGGAGTAGTGTCCTCTTAAATGACACTGCTATGACTTTCCATCTACTCCTCAACAAGACCTCACCTGCTGTATTTATAATCCTTAAAATAAGACAAGACCTTGAGCTACAGGAAGAGTAACTTCATGAGCCTGTTGCAAGAGCAGATTGTTGTATTTCGCATGCCATAGAATGGTATTTGTTACTACCTTACTTCCTGCAATGACAGAAGGATCTTTCAATTTCAGGGCAATTGAATTAGGGTTAGCAATACAGCACAGACATGGGAAACATTCTGTTGCAAATTTTAAGTTTTGTAAATTATTAACTGCAAAAATTGTAGTTCTGTGGGTGTGTAATCATGCCTATGATTTTGACTATTGCATTGTTTTATCCATGGTTGCAGTTAAGCTCAAGAGTGGGTTGTGGTTCAATTTTGTTAGTTTGGGGTTTTGTTTGTTTGTTTTATTTGGTTTTCAAATTTTTTCTTTCTGAACTATTTGTTGGGTTGCTGACCATCACAATTAAGTCAGCTCAGGTGTGCTAAGAGTTGTATGATGTCCTACAAACCAGAAATTGTGTTAAGAATTCCACAGAGAGTATGATTCATGCCTCATGAGCTTTCAGCCAAGGATGTTGATGTAAATATCAGGCTGAATTTACCTTAGGGGTAAACACATAGAGCTGCAAAGCTTGATTAACTAGGTGTGATAATTCAGAGGACACTAAAAGCTAATCGGAATCTTATGGACAAAAGTTAAAACTAGTTTCTCTTAGAAAAACAAAAGTCCTGCAATAGCATGGGTAATTAAATTTTACGTACAAACTTCAACTTTAAAACAAACAAATAATTACATAACCCCAGTGGGGGAACTCTATAAAAGACTAATTATGGTTACTGTCCCTGCCCAATTTGGCCATCACAAGTATTTCCTTCTACTTTGTGACAAGTAGAAATTAAAGTAGGTTTCTGCAGTATTGCTGTGAGGTCAACCAGTCTCTGTATCTTTGCAATACATTCTTTTCCATCTCTAGTGGTAAGGGTTCTTACTGGAAAGGGGCTACATGCATCTAAATCTAAACTGTAAGGCAACCCCTGTACAACTGTAGCATTGTTATGGCCTAGTCAGGGTTAGTAGACTCATTGCAGGCATATCCATTATTAAAATGTAGGGTGTGGGGATATTTTTCTTTTAGCATTCCACCTCAGAGCCAATCACGAATGTAGTAGAGCAATGGAACTTCCCTGCTGTTAAGATTATTTCCCAACTCATTTTTTGTGTGTGTGTGTGGTTTTTGTTTGCTTGGTTAGTTTCTCCTGTTAGAAAATCAGAGACGTTGAAAAGCAGAGCTGGAAATGAGAAGCTTGGCAGAGAAGTAGCTTCAGAGTGGATGGTACTGTGTTTTTCAGTGCTTTGTGAATGCTTTCCTTGCAGAAGTTAACCTGTGTTTTGTAATGAGGGGTGCTAGAAAATGTCATTTGGACAGCTGCATTCATTACTCCATTGTGAAACATGGCAAGTGTAAGCATGTTTTATCTGCAGATTTCACCTTGGACTTTACTGTGGAACCATTACTGCATAATGGTGTATATGATGCTTTAAGGAAAATGTTGCACCATAGGTTCAATTATAATGTGTCAACAGTATTTAAGCAGTGTGTCAGGAAGAAATGAAGGTTAAAAAAATTGGAAAAACATGTATTCTGTTTCAACCCAAGTCATTCTAGGATTCTGTGATTCTTGGAAGTACATGTGGAGGTCCCTGTCCTGTAGAATTCATACTACACATCAGGAAATGGAAGTCAGCCCTGTTTGTTGTCTATGTTCTATATGAATCTTTTGAGGTATTTATTATTTGGTCACTGTTCTGAAATGCTGGTGAATCCACTGATTCTCAATTTTTTTCCAGATCACTGATTATGAAATTACCTCATGATTTATTTAAGTAATTCAGTAGGATTTCTGAGGCCCATGTAAATCCCTATTGTTTCTGTGTGCTCTTTCTCTTCCTACAGTCAGCCTTTAGGTGGCACTCTATCAATGGAGAGTACCACACCTGGGTACCTGCACCCGAGCTTCACCCTCGACACAATCCTGCAGATGCTGCTTTCTGTTTGGAGGTCCAACACTTCTGCTCGTCCAGAGCATCTAATCCAGATGCTCCTCCTATGACAAACACAGATTTTAGTCTCCTT